TATTTCTCCCGGCCCGGGAATCGAACCTGAGACGTCTGCGTGGCTGTCCGGCATGGCAACCATTGAGCCACGGAGGCAGTTAATTATTTATATTAGTTTTATATGTCGGGATGAAGTACATCCTATTTTGTAGCACATTCTTTAGACAAAATTTTTAGGTGTACCGTATATTTTTTGTATGACTGTTATTTCTTCCCGCTTCTCATCCGCCGACTCGCTTTAATGATAAAACAAAGATGTGAAGTGGGGATTCTGCCATACCGCGTAAAAGTTAGTTACATTTACGTATATAATTATTGCACCTATTAAAATTTATTTGTTTCATATTGATTTCTAATGGCGTCTTTTTAACCTCTACACCTCTTCCGATATTTTAAACAATATCGAACAACTAATTTTGTTTCTTAATTTTTTGACTAATGTGCCGACCCTACATAATATACGGTGGCGGTTATAGAATTAAGACGCTTCATAATACGGCACCAGTTTGACATACAAATGTTCATAATAAACATAATAACCCTTACTGGAATACATTGACTATAGTGCTAGCACATTCAGGGCACACAACAAATTAGAATACTTTTAATTCAAATTAAACAAGATTGTTACGCGAAATAAAACAGGTATATCCAGATAATATTGTTTAACATCATCAGAGCATATTTTTAAATTAATTCTACACTTAATCGTTTTTGCAAAATAATAATGGCTTTGTGTCATTAATCGTTCTCAATTCTATATAACCTCCACTGTATATAACGCACCAAAATACATTTTTTTCATTCCTTTCTGCAGTCTAATCAATAATCATATTATCATATCAGCCGGAAGACGTCCACTGCTGAACATAGACCTCCCCAAAGATTTCCAGACCAGCCGATCGGACGCGACGTGCTTTCATCGTTTACCCGCCCATCGCGAACGCCTTCCGGTTCGTGGTCCCCATTCAGGAACCTTTTTGCCCAACGGCCGCCAGTTCTACAAGCTATGTGCCCTGCCCACTACCACTTCAACTTGGTAATGTTTCGAACTATGTCGGTAACTTTCGTTCTTCTACGGATCTCCTCATGTCTGATTCGATCACATAAAGAAATACCGAGCATTACACGCTAATAGCTCGTTGAGTGACTTTGACCTTTTTTATTAGGCCCATAGTAAGTTACCATATCTCAGAGCCTATCTGACTGCGGTATTGAGGACGAGAAGACGTCCCGGAGCTTCCCGACAGCTGCCCAATCAAATAATCATATAACTATAGGTAAATATACATTTCTAAGGCATATTACCCCCGAAAGCAATGACGTCAGTCAATCCAAATAATCAACGCCCTTGTTTACTAAAACAAAAAACAACTCAAAGCAGAAATATGATATCTCTGAAATTCGATAATACACGTGGCCAATGAACAAACGAACTACCGCCCGCATAGTAATGCAAACATATTTGTCTACCGCCGAAAAATAATAGTGTCTTATCAGAAAATATTTAAAGCTCAGAATGTTATACCGATAAATTTTGTGACAGGAAAACTTGATTTAAGAGCTTTGTTAGTTTTTCCCACGTTATGTGAAGTCACTTCTAATATTTGATGTTGCTTTAATTGCAGTGGTATAAAATAACTCTTTAAGTTAAAAGCTTGCTGTATAATCACGATTTAAAGTAAGAAATAAGGATATTTTGAATCTTAACTGCTTAAAAAGTGCAAATGTAAACCTCTTTTTTTACCTGTACAGTTTAATCAATCCAATGAGAAAAGTACGTGAAGTGCTTGCATGTTTTTCCAGGAATAATAATAAAGTCCATAATGCAGTGTATTATTCTTTAATTCTTCTTCTTTTCGCGTCGATACTTCGTTTATTTTAAGACTATATTGACTTTGAATAGTATGTTGCGTATGAGATAGCTAAGGCAATACTTCTCTGGACGAACTCTGTCACAGAGAGCTCTATTGCTACTTACTTTGGGATCGAAGCAACGTACGTGTTGTTGTCAAATAATTTTCTACTATCTCCCAATGATTCGTAATATAAGAATTATATTTACTTTCAAAACAAATTCTCCCACACCTGTGTGCAAACAACCATTCAAATAATACACAGTGAAAAGGTTCCCACTACACTTCCAGTACCAAAGGTATTAAGGTAATAGAAAAAGAAAATTATCTATTGGCTGCTTTGCATAATCCGTGAATGACAGTGGCATAAAGACGTTTGCTTGCCTTGTCACTTTTTATTTACCTTTACATTTTTAACTGTGTCCTATAAAGTGTTGGAAATATTAATTCTGTCAACTGTAAAATGTAAATTTGCAGTTTAACGGTCGTAGGTGAAGTGACAGTGTGAAGCAATTTTGTTTTTTATTGATATTTGAGTTACGGTGTTTTGGTTGCTGTACAAGTGTTTGGCAACTTGTGTGTAAGTTTTGCTTAGCCTACTTACTGGATATCTTTTTGTAAAATGTTTTTTATTTAGACAGGTAATATGAACATACCTACATATTTGGAGACGCAAAAGGCTCTAATATGTCAAACTACAGCTTTACGCTTTTTGCACTGGAAACCCTTGCCCTGGGTGCCACAGGCAAAACTATGATACCAAATGGTGGGGCGAATTCATGCACCTAGTGGTAAGCGACACGCCTGTCCATACCAATTGCAGTGCCACTCAGAGCTTCAAATCGCAAAGATCTGAGGGGCTCTGCTATTGCACCCGTCACACTCGGACGTACGTTGACAAATCCCAAGTGTTCGGTGATTTCACCAGAACCCTTATCCTTCAAAACTAGAATGCAGTAATGTGAGCATTACTGCTTGGAGGCAGAAATGGGTAACTTCACTCTGAACTCTCTTACAAGGAACTAACTGGCACTAAATGCTTTCAGATTCTCGTACTTCTGCCACAGAATACACCATTTTTTTTTATATGATACCAAGAGATTGGACAAACAAGTCGTGCACCTAGTGATAATTGACAAGTCAGTCTATAAATCTCAAAGAGCAGTAGAGTTCTTGGTGTAACAGTTCGTCCAGGGAAGTACTGCCACCTTACCTATTTCTGCCACCAAGCAGTCTTCTCTTCCTATCGTATCGATGGCATGAATACTTACAACAATGCTTCCCACTGTAGAGAAAGGAATTGCCAATCGGCGTAAGGTATTCGAAGATTGTTGCCCAGGGTGCGCCAGTCTATACGTTCTACGTGCGGGCAGGCTCCTTTCGTGCACCCCCGTAATGTGAGATATAATGATCTTGATATCATGAAAAAAAAGACCTGAGGCTCACTGCCACTGCGCCTGTCACCTTGAGACCTAAAGATGACAAGTCCCTTTTTTATTTTTTTAGCGTGCTTTTGACCATTTTGACATCTCATCTGATGGAAAGCGACGATGAGGTCGACGATATAGCACGCCTATTAAATAATACCTATTCACTCTCGCTTTGAACAGGCCCAAGTTATACCGTTCGGGGAACAATTCTCCAGGCAGCGAATTCCACTCTATGGCCGTTCGCCATATAAATGTAGATGCGAAATGTTATATCCACAACATAGGCATGGAACCCCAGCCTACGTCTGAAGGCGGAATTAAACCATGAAATTCCATCGCACACTCTCCGTGATATATCCTGTAGAATGTGTAAGCAGGCAACTTGTGTGTGTTGTTTTAACAGCAGCCTTACTCTTCAAAACCGAAACGCAGTAATGTCACTGTTAAGTCGCCGCGAAGCAGCAATGGGACTTAATAGTCACATCACTGCTTGGCGGCAAAAATAGGTATAGTAACAAGGAGTTCCACTGCTACTCTTATATATAAATATTTAATATCCCTTTAAGACACGTAAGAAAAACAAACTCTATTCATTCGTTTTATTTATTCCGTAACATCAAAGTGGCGAATTTAATATTGCGTCGTTTTGTTTCGAAAATCTATTTATTATCTATAAAAAGTTGTTTTAAATAGTCATGTGGGTTCATGCTTATGGGTTCCGTACAGAATATTTTAACGTTATTCTTTTTTTTAT